CTTAACCCGTCTTAATTTCTATCAGAATAATTGTAACCCTAGACCGGGAATTTATTTTCTTCCACGTGACTTGCAGGTCGTGATTCATCATTTAGTGCGGGTTAGCTTTTTGTCTATCATCTAAAATCATTAGTAAATTTTTAACAATTCAAAAATAAAATTATAAAATGAGGATACCTGACCGTGGGTACTCCTTAGAAATAGTATCTCTTCAGGTGAACGACATTCCAATGTGAAGGTAATATCTTGCCATCCATTGTTTCCAGCTCGTATGCTCCTTTCCCCGTGATACCGTGAATCTTGTAAGGTTCTTCCAAGGTTGGACTTAATTTTCCCGCATTAGCTGCTTTCGTGGATTGAAAAACTTTCTTGAGTATGAAGTCCCCAATCTTGAAGTATCTTAGGCGAGCTTTCCGATTATAGTATCGTTCCATGACTTGTTTTTGTGCTGCCATTCTTATTAATGCAGCTTCCCTTTTTCCTTCAAGTAAATCAAGGTTTATTCGTATTTCATCTTCATTGGATTCCTCTAACGCTTGCGTGTACCTCGTGCTTGGCTCCCCTATCTCAATTGGGATTAAGGCTTCAACTCCGTACACCAATGAGAATGGTGTTTCACCCGTGCTTGTTTTTGCTGTGGTGTGGTATGCCCATAAAACACCAGGTAGCATTTCTGGCCAATTGCCTTTGGATTATTCCAATCGTTTCTTCAAATTATTGATAATGACTTTATTTGTTGATTCAGCTTGTCCATTACCCACCAGATGGTAAGGCGTTGAGGTAATCCTTTTAATCTACCAACTTTGAAAAATCCTATGATTTGTGCACCTATAAATTGCGGGCCATTATCACACACGATTTCCTTTGGTACACCGAATCGACATATGATATTTCACCAAATGAAATCCCTGACTTCTTTTTTTCGTACCTGTTTAAATGCTCCTGCTTCTACCCATTTAGTAAAGTAGTCAGTGAGTACAAGTAGGAATTTTACCTTACCTTTTGCTTGTGGTAGTAGACCCACGATGTCCATCCCCCATTTCATAAAAGGCCACGGTGCAATTACCGGATGTAGCAACTTCGCAGGTCTATGCATGTTGTTACCATATCTTTGGCACTTATCACATTTAGCCACGAAATTTTCCGCTTCTTCTTCCATTTTGGGCCAATAATAGCCTGCTCTAATCATGGTTCTTACCAGTGATCTTCCTCCTGCGTGATTTCCACAATGCCCCTCGTGTATTTCTCTCATCACATATTCCGTTTGAGAAGGCCCGAGGCATCTTGCTAAGGGACCACTGAACATCTTTCGATAAAGATTGTCTTGCTTTAAACAGTACCGAGCAGCCTTTTTACGAAGCGTGTGAGCCTTTTTCTTGTCTTCAGGGACGGTTCCATACTACAAAAAATTGACGATCTCATTCCTCCAATCCCAGGTTAAGTTATTGAAATTTACCTCATTTTTGTCTGGATCGAGTACCGAATGAAACAAATGAATTATAGAAGCATTTTCATTGCTCGTCACGTCCGCCACAGATGCGAGATTGGCTAGGGCGTCTGCCTCGACATTTCTCTCTCTTGGTATCTGCGTAACTTTCCAGGTTTGGAATTGCCTAATCAAATCTCGTACCTTCTCTAAGTACTGCTGCATTCGTGCTTCCCTGGCTGTATAAGTCCCCAGCATTTGATTAACTACAAGCTGCAAATCGCTTTTGATTACGATCTGATTAATGCCAAGTTCACATGTCAGTTCTAAACCTGCAATCGCAGCTTCACACTCTGCCTCATTGTTAGTTATAAGATGACATTTTATGGCTTGTCGAATGGTTTCACTCGTAGGTGGTACCAAAATAATTCCTAAACCTGCCCCCTTCATATTAGATGAGCCATCAGTAAATAAGGTCCAAATTCCCTGATTAGACCTATTAAAACACTTGTAGTTCCTTTTCAGCTTCTAATTGTATCCCATGGCTAGAATCAGTCAAAAAATCTGCTAACACCTGAGATTTTATTGCGGTTCTAGGTTGATATGCGATGTCGTATTCACTCAATTCTATGGCCCACGTGGCTAACCTACCTGATAACTCATATTTGTGTAATATATTACGCAATGGATAAGCAGTTACTACAGAAATAGGGTGGCATTGGAAATAAGGCCTTAGTTTTCTAGATGCCATGATTATTGCAAGTGCAAGCTTTTCTACTTGAGGATACCGCGTCTCCGCATCTAATAATGATTTGCTAACATAATAAATTGGAGACTGTTTACCTTGGTCTTCACGAACTAAAACAACACTCACCGCTACTTCTGAAACAACTAAATAAATAAGTAATCTTTCCCCGACCTTTGGTTTTGCGAGCAACGGTGGATTTGACGGTATGCCTTCAGGTTTTTGAGCGTTTGTTGACATTCTTCGGACCATTCGAACTGGTCTTGCTTTTTAAGAGCCGAAAATAATTTAAAACATTTTTCTGATGACTTGGAAATAAATTTTTCCAAGGCTACAATTCTTCTCGTTAGTCTCTGCACCTCTTTCTTATTTGTAAGCATGTCAGGAATTTCTTCAATGGCTTTAATCTGCGCGGGATTTACTTCAATACCACAGTTAGAAATAAGAAAACCCAAAAACTTACCTGATGAAACGCCGAATGCTCATTTCTTGGGATTTAGCCTCATATTGAATTTTCGTAAGATCTAAAATGTATCAGACAAATGTGATATATGATCTCCTGAATGTTGAGATTTGACAATCATATCATCTATGTAGACTTCCATAGTTTTTCCTAAATGTTCTTGGAACATTTTAGTCACCAATCTTTGATACGTGGCACCAGCGTTTTTGAGACCAAAGGGCATTACTTTATAACAATAAGTCCCCCTGTCTGTTATAACCGAAGTCTTTTCTTCATCTAGGGGATCCATTTTGATCTGATTGTACCCTGAATACGCATCTAAAAAGCTTAACAATTCATGTCCTGTAGTAGCATCAATCAGTTGATCTATATGTGGTAATGGAAAAGACTCTTTAGGACATGCTTTGTTAAGGTCGGTGTAATCTACACAAACTCGCCATTTGCCATTTTTTTTGGTACCACTACAGTATTGGCTAACCAATTAGGATACTTTACCTCTCGGATAGACCCAATTTTTAATAGTTTTTGAACCTCATCTTGAATCACCTGATTTTTGAAAGTCCCCTTCTTTCTCTTCTTTTGCTTGACAGGCAGATACGATGGATCTTCATTTAACTTGTGAGTCATTACTTCCGGGGGTATTCCTGTCATATCAGAATGGGACCAGGCAAAACAATCCACCATTAGTTTTTAAAAATTCAATCAACTTACCTTTCGTGTCGTGGCTTAAGTTGGCCCCAATGTAGACTTTCCTTTCAGGCCATTGTGCAAATAACTCTACAGCCTCCAGTTCTTCAATTGTTGTTTTGATATTTTCATTTTCTTCTGGTTGTTGAATGGAATCGGGCCTTGAGTCTACATCTGTTCGTCCTTGTTCAGTTGAGGCTTGTGTCATGGTATCCTCAACTGGATTCTGTAATTGCTACTTTTCTTCGTTTTTCGTACTTGAATCTGCTACAGAATTGATGCTCCTGGAAGTCTGTTGATCCCCATGGATTTGACGTATTCCCCACGGTGATGGGAATTTAACAACTTGATGTAAGGTAGATGGAACAACATCCATCTCGTGAATCCAAGGTCTCTCGAGAATCATATTGTAAGCCATTTCCATCTCCACAACCTAAAATTTCGTATCTTTGACAACCCCTTCTTCAAAGGTTGTAAGTGTTACCTCACCTTTTGTCACAACGCTCGAATTGTCGAATCCAGACAACGTATGTGCCTTAGGTACTAGCTTATCTTCAACTTGCATCTCGTTTAGTGCTCTTAGAAAAATAATGTTCACGGAACTACCTGGATCAATCAAAACTCGTTTCACATTAGTATCATGTACAAGTAGAGAGATTACCAGTACATCGTTGTGAGGAGTTAATACGCCGTCCGCATCTGCATCATCAAATATAATACTTTCTTCCTCCAAAACATGTCGGACCCGCTTCCCGTGAGTAATTGTAACTTTAGAAACTTTATTGGCCACCGTATATGTCACGCCGTTGATTTCCTCGCCCCCACTTATAACATTAACGGTCCTTTTCGGAGAAGGAGGTTTAGGGGGCTCTTGCATGTTCTTCATGTATGCTTGCTTACCTTTTTCACTAAATAATTCAGTAAGATTCCCTTGCTTTAATAGATGGTCAACTTCACCTTGCAACAATCTACAATCTGCCTTTTTATGACCATGACACTACTACAAAAAAGGCCTTTGGCGGCAATAAAAAACAACATTAGCGGCAATAACAATAGCCGCTATATTATTTACCGGCAATTGATGTTTAGCCGATGAAGCCGGGGTTGGTAAAGCCTTTAGCGGCATTTTCTATTGCCTCTAAAACACATTTTCTTTAACGGCAAATATTTGCGGCAATTATGATGGCTGATAAACCCACTTTTAAAAAGGCTAATAATGCTCTTATAACGTCCATTTTTATAGCCGCTAAAGTTAAAATATTTGTCACTAAAAGTTCATACTTTTAGCGGTAATTGTTTTGTGGCAATTAGAGTGGAAAAAATATATCTTCTAAAAACGTATTTTTATGCCCTTTTAGCGTCCATTTTAATAGCTAGTAAATTCAATTATATTGCCACTAAAAGTCATCTTTAATAGCAATATAATGGCTACAATATTCCCTTTTAGCCACCATTAATAATAGCTACTACATTCGATCAAAAAATAATGCAAATAACAAAACATATCAATATTAATTCATCAAACTGTAATATATCTCGTTAAATCTTAACAAACAAAAGGAAGTACTTCCAAAATATTAATATCACAATAACTTAAAAAAATAAACTTAAATTGTTTGAACTAAATAGCTAATGTCATTATATAACTAATCTTTACGAAGTACAATCTTCAAATAATTTCTGCAACTCTTCATCATATTGTAATATTCCACCCGCTAAATTATCGAACATCAGACTGTATGACCTGAAATTATAAAATAACTAAGACAATAAATAAAAGACAATAATCCTCAATTCCAGACTAGTTGGAGCTTGCTTGAAATTATAATTAGATAAGTAAATTCTTCCATATAGTAAAAGAGAACGCACAATGCTCATGCAATGTTGGGAAGAGAAACTGTGATAATCATGAACTGACCGAGACAGTGTCAGGAGCAACTACATCATACTACAGGGGATAACCCGTCAGTTTAGATCTTTGTCATGTACATGTATTTGAAAGACATTAAGAAATGAGAAAATGGAATAACAAAATAACAAGAACATCAATATGAGAGATGATATGGGACTGGATATTTTATTTGTCAAAAATACACAAAGCAAATCAAAGTTGACAAAACTCAATTCAAGCTAATGGTTGCATGAATTCAAACACTGTAAAATTATGTTAGATATATTGATAGAATTAAAAGGTAAGAACTACAGAAAATCTATTGCTTTGATGAAACTCATGAACTACATCTCTTCAATACCAGAGATTAAACGAATGATCCGCAGAGATTTTCAATACATTAAAGTTCCTTTTAAAGACATGACTTTCCTAAGATGTATTTCAGTCATGCATGTCTGTCTTAGGGAAGCATAAAGAATGCCTTTCAAAATGCCAATCCAAGTAAATATTGTGTGATAATGAGAAATAATTAGCAGGAGTAATTTATATGTTACCATCTCAATAAAAAAAAACTAGGGAGTTATTTTTGCCTTCTATCAACCAAAACATACATTTAACCATTTAAGCACTTCATAACACTACAATAATATTAGCGATCTTTGAGATATCACATAATCCTAAACTTGGCAATAGCTATGATGAATAATGCATAGTGACAATAAACATTACAGCAGTGACACAATAGTTAGTGGCAGCTGTAACAAATAACTCATTCCTAGCAGAATCTGATAATAAATCACCCACTTCTTCAGGCAAGAAAATAGATAAGCTCTTTATCATAATTAGAGACCAAATTTGAATGAAAACATCTACTAAAGCAAGAACTAAGTTCCATACTATTTCAATGAGGTCTATCCAAAAGGAAAGCATGAACTCCTTAAAGAAATTTGACTTCTAAAGTATAAATTGGTTCCTAGTATACCTAGTTAGTCATATGACATAGAAAAAGTAACTTTACTGCTTCATAAAAGATATCATTAAGTAACTGTATAATTCACAACACCATCAGACCAACAATCCGAGTAGTGAAAAGGTAAATTATCACAGCTGCGAACCAACTATTTATTAAATACCAATCTATACAAGTTCATGGACTTTCTATGCCTAAAAGCAGACCAAACTCTTGCAGCTGCCAAATAATTCCTATAATGCTATTGAATGTAGTTATGTATTATCACTGTATGGCCTATGACTGCTCCGTCTCATAGGTCGTTCACAATTGGAATTATCAATGGTATCTTAATCTTAAAAGAAGTTTAAAAAATGGGTTTCAACTATTAAATATTGACTGACTTTTTTTGAATCAATAATAAGTATATACTGCATGAAATATGCATGTAATTTACATTTTTATCTACTTGCGGCGGAAAGGTGGCTTCCTTAAAAATATGGTAGACAATGGTGGCAGGGGAGGTACTGGTACACGAATTAATAAGTAGGAAGATGAATTCAATCTATAAAAGCTGACATAAACACTAGTTTACAACTCTTTCATCATTAAAGTCTTTCTACATGCTAAACTTTCAAACATCATACTATATGACCTGAAATAATAAAACTGAGCGAATGTCAAAAGATGAAATCTGATGTAAAAAAAAATTATAAGTCTCATAAATTTATTGTCAAAGTAGCTCCCAACTTCAAACACTTCTAGATAATCTTTTGTAAAAGACAATGTTTAGCAATATTTGCTTAGCAATATTGCCTTAAGTTTCGCAAAATATGAAGCAACAAAAATATCTTAGAAGAAAATATTTTAATCCTTGCACCCCTGGAACTTCTACCCCTATGCTTTGGCACTTTGCTATCTTAAACAAACAACTTCACAACCAACTGCTCAAAAGCAAATGTTCTAATAAAGATTAGTCTTGTGAACCTCATGAGACTTGCTTTAGGGAGAGAAATAAGGATAAATACTCTCAAAAGAATCATTTATTGATGCCAAATTGTCTGAAGGATATAAACAAATATAGAAACTGATATATCATCCTGTAAATTCACTTTGGGGAGACTAAAATATACTTGAACTATATACTGAATCCAACCAAAGAAATAAATGAACCTCCTTTACCACAACTATTTCAATGACATAGAGGCAACACTAATACTATAAGGACTGAAACAAGGACATGTAATCTATGATCTATTTAGTATTTTTTCCGTGTTAAACCGCACTCTATTATCGATCACCTTAATAATGATCATTAAAAGATTATTATTATTAGAAAGAAATTCGAAATCATTATAACGATAAATACTTCAAATTATTAAGTCCACTTTTTAATCCATGGGCTTCTTAATCTCAGAGTATTACAATATAAGTGTAGCATATTATTGTAATAATACCATAACAATTATATTACCATCTTAGAGCACAAAAAAAAAGAACGGAAATAAATGGGTGAACTAACTTGAAGTTAGTGAGGAGAAGCAGAGCAACCACGGGCTTGAATACCAATAAGATCTTTAATTAAATCATTTTCTTCTTTAGGACAATAACAAACTTTAACCTCTTGTTGGTCTACAACACTATTAAAGAGTTGATTACATAAAGCATATTAGAAGAAGATCAAGTCATCAAGAACTGAAAAGGTAAAATATCATTAATGTAGTATATATTTTGGTTGGATATAGCATTGTCTGTATTAAAGAAGGAAAAGGGGCTAAGAGACCTATCACTGCAGGACTCAATTCAAATCCTAAAGACATCATGTTATCAAAATATATCTTCCAACACCTTAATAAGCTATAGATGCATTGACGAGCCTGGTATTGATATTGTTTCTTCAGCTGAAATTGTTCGTTTAACAGACTGCTTCGTATTCCCAATAACAAATATACAGATAATAAGTATCACGTTTTAAGACAAATAAGAAGTATTCTACATAATAGCTACAACCTCGATCCAATTCTTAGAGATAGACTGATAGATGATCAACTGTACCTATCCTTTGTCAATTAGAATCAAACAAGAATTTGAGTCAAATATTCTAACAAAGTCTAGTAGCAATTAGTATATCCTGTTTGTTTAAATGTTAGGAGTCAATTTGGTGATCAAAACAAAATGGGTTTTTATAGGCGCACACAAAAGATTACTTTCCTTAGCGACCCTTCAAACTAGAGAAATAAAGGCGCACACAAAAACTAGAGATATCCATATATGCATGAAAAAGTTACTACATCAATAAATAGAAAAATTCAATGTTAGTTTCAACAGAGGACCGGAAGGCCAAAGGCAATAATAGAGACTCGGAGACCAAGACTTTGTTAGCTTTCCTTCCCAATATAAAGGTAGATGAGCTCTACAACATAAAAATTTAGAGAATTCTTTGTTAATTTCATATGTATAAGCACCAAGTGTTCTTCTTAACTATTATTTTACATTTTAAAGCATCCCAGATTTATAACAATGAATACAAATCAGTAACTGAAAAATAGATACCAAAAAGGGGAAAAAGAATCTCAAACTACGTCACTAATATCTCTGAAATTCACCACTCTCATGTAAAATCAGATCCCATCCAGCATTGTGAATAGAACTTAGAAAATCCATAATGAACAGTAAGAGAGCAAGAAGTCCATCACAAAAAATTAATAGAATCTACATTGATAGTGAATGAATAAAGTAAAAAAATTACCAGAAGACCAAATCTGAGAGATCGTACCTCGATTTTCTTTCAGTTCGAGGCCACCAAAAATCAATTTTTTCTTAATTTACTAATGTGTGGCTTACCCTCTTTATCTATTTATTTGCTGCATCTCCGAATGTTCTTTTACGGTAGATAATCAGAATGATGAGTTGGGTAACTAGGGATGGTGGTCGGGTTGGTGAGATAACTATTAGTTGGGTAGTGATGTCTGAGCAGTACGATGGAAGACCTTTCAAAAACTTTTTCCTGAAATTATATTTAGTTCGTGATTTACATTTGGAGGGAATATGTAAATTTTATTGGAAAATATTGGTGGGAAAGATAAAACATTAACTTCAATTAGTGATTATTAGGGACCATTCTTTTTAATTGCCAGCAAAAAGATAGTTTCTCCTGGCTAATGTGCATTTGTCGGTAATATCCCTTCGTCAATAATAAATTAGTGACAATTAACTAATTGCCACTAAACGATTGCCGTTAAAATGACTTTTTGTTGTAGTGTGATCGTTGTGAAATTCACACCAGTGGTCAGGATTGTGCATGTTTGAATTTGATCTCATTTCTTTTGGTCACCGCACCTTATCACCCATGCTTCTAAATACGGCTACTAGCTCTGAAGTGCTTACATTAAAATTATAACCACCAAATCTTGCCTTCAAGTTCCGATCATCATCTCGCGTCTCTTGCGTGTTTCGATTGTTTCCAAATCTCGATGATGAACCCGACTCTCTATTCCTCGATCTATGATCAAACCTTGAATTATCCCACTTTGATCGTGAGTCGTTTCCTGCTGGGCCCATGTACGGATCATATCTATTTTTACCGGACCTTTTTTCGGTTTCTGCTCGTCTCGAATTCACCTTCTCCTTTTTCTGAGATCGGGAGATAGTATCTTCTTCTATCCTTAGCTTCGTTTTGTATCTGTTGTAAACATCATTCCAGGTTGTTACTGGAAATTCCCGCAGACTTTCCTTGAGTCGTCTCGTGGCTTCCGAGCTTTTCTCATTCAAATTACTGGAAAAAGCCATAGCTGCCCAGTTTTCAGGTACGCGCGGTAACATCATCCTTTCACGCTGGAATCTATCCACTAACTCTCTAAGCAACTCTGAATCTCCTTGCTTAATTTTGAAAATATCTTCTATTCTTTTTTCTACTTTTTGAGCCCCCGAATGTGCTTTGATAAATGAATCTGCAAGCTCAGCAAAAGAATTTATAGAATTTTCGGGTAAGAAAGAATATCAAGTTAATGCTCCTTTGGTGAGTGTTTCACCGAATTTCTTGACCAATACTGACTCAATTTCCTGTTTGGTTAAATCGTTGCCTTTCACACCAGTTGTGAATGCAGTCACGTGGTCTCGTGGATCAGTTGTGCCATCATACTTTGGAATATCAGGCATCTTGAACTTCTTCGGGATCGACAACGGAGCAGCACTAGGCTTCCATGGTTGTTGTGAGTATTTATCCATGTCTATTCCTTTGATTACAGGTGGTACTCCCGGTATTTACTCTATGCGATCGCTTTGCTCCTTGAGATGCTTCTGCAAGGTTAAAACTAAATTTTGTAAATCAGAATTAACTATGTTACCTAGTTCGCCATCACGAGACTCGCTGGGAGTTCCACCAGTGCCTGAATTAACGAGCCCAGAACGTGGGTTTTCTAAAGTATTCTGATTCGAAGTTGGTGTTGGTGGCGAAACTGGCAACTGGCTGGTAAAAGCTCGGAGAGCATTACTGACTTGTTGAGCAATTAGATTCTTCAGATCATCATCGAGTGCTTGTTCGTTCACAACTCCAGTATTTTGATTTGCCTCAAATCCGTTTGGTTCGCAATCCCGTTGTTTGTTTCAGAGCCATCTGGAGTTCCTTCTCGTGACTAACGTTGTGAATCACGCGGTGAGGGAAGTGGGGTCCTGTCACCCGTATCATTCTCCTGATTTTGAGGATCTTGTTGGTTGTTGTCGTTGTTATTTGACATGGTAAGTTTTTTGGTGAAAGAATTGATTAAGAAAGCAAACGATTATCAGATTCCCGGTAACGGAACCAATTTGTTTAACCAAAAATTGGGATTTCGGTCAAAGCTTATTTTAGAAGAACTCGGGTTACTGATAATCAAATAGAAATAAGAATAATTGATAAATAGTAGATGAATATAATGCAAAGTAAATCAATATATTTCAATTGTATTTCCTGTCCTTACAAATGATCAGTCTTCTCCTTTTATAGCTATCTCTAGGTAATACGTTTTGTTTCTACCATAACAGAGCCATTATTGACAATTAATGGCATTTAATGACCTTTAATGTAACGTTACAATTGGTAATCATATTTGATTCATTACAGATTCCTTAACATTTTCCGTATTTAATGCCTAATAATACGTATCTAAACCTCATTTACTATTAAAATTATTCTCTTTAATCATAAAGAGATTCAAGCGTCTATCTTTCTGAATATCTGCTCGTGCCTGTTGAAGCTCGTGCCTCTTTGATTATTCTTTGTCACCTATCCTCCTTTGACTGGTCCACGTGTCATGACGTGTCATCTTATAATAATTTCCATATATGAACATAATTTTTTCCAATACATTAAACTTGTGACCTAATTGTTTCAAGGTTCTCCGCCATCTATAAAGCATGATAATGTCAAAGGGAAAAAAATGAGCATTAAAAGAAAAAGATAATTGTACTAATTTGTTATATATGTCCATAAAGTGTGTCTAAAATAATAAAAACAAGTAATCTAGCTACGAATATAATTAACTAAATGTTGGAAAGAAGAAAACAGAAACAGAAAAAGCACTAATGGTTTATTTTTAAATGGAGCTTGTATCCTCATATGCCAAATCCCAAACAGAAATCGGAGCTTGATGATGTAGAACACCATCTTCTTGTGGAGTAGCATTCAAATTCATGTTTCTATAAGTAGAGGGATCATAATGAATTTGTTCAAGGACATTGCCTCCCCAAAATCCTTCGAAATTCTCCACAACTGATCCTCCATTAGCATTTTGTGATGCATTATAGCTCTGGAAGCTCCTTTTTATATCCATGTTCACCCAATCATGTTGCCCATGGCCAACCATTATTTCTTCATTTGGAATTGGTTGTGCTTCAATCAAGCTGGGAAAGTTGTTAATGGACAGGTCAAGCAATTGATCCTCCCCCTTGTCGATACTATTTTCGCGAACAAGACAACTTTTCTCGGAGTCAATTCTTGAATTCTTGCACGGTAATCCCACCCCTAAATCACTTTGCGCGCAATTATTTGAATTTTGGGTAGCAAAAATTTCATCCTCCGTGTCTATTTCACTCTCGAATACCCCTTTCCTTTTCTCCTTTCTCCTCAAAGTAGAGCCATCAAACAAATTGACACGATTACCAATTTTGGGTACTAAAGCAAGATATTCATCTTCTTTTCCCTTATTTTCTCCTTCCTCCTCCTTTGATGTTGAAATTTTGAGAGCTTTTTCAGTGAGCTTGAGAAGGACTTCTTCGTGATTAACAACTTTTGACCAAGTAGCTGTTTCTTTAGCTGTCATCTTGTTTTGCAAACTCTTGGATTGTTTGACCAACCTCCTCATCCTATCCAAATTAGCAGACATATGTTTAATAATAGCAGCCAAAACACTTACTTTCCATGCCTTTTTCAAGTCATGTGGTTTCTTGTAAGGTGGTGGGCCTAATTCTTGCGCAAAACCTTGATCACCCCACCAAAGTTCCTTCCCTGTGGGCCACCAAGGTGGGGCCAACCCTTTATCCAAAGGAAACCTCCTTTGTGGAGGTATACAATGTTGCATTAGGGCAGAAAGTAGTGAGCCTAAAGTAGTATCTTGCAAGTCTTGAAGAAGATGCATGCATGAATTAGGATCCAATATATTTTCTTCCACTAATTTAGGCAAGAATGTAGCAATGGCAGCTGGGGCATTTTGTTCAAACTTCACCTTCTCTTTCCACCACTCCCTTAAACTATCCGACGAGCCGGTTACAGGCTTCCCTTTTTCTGGCACGATCCCAAAAACGAAGCCTTGACCGTTGCAAATCTCCATGATTTTTACCATGTACTTGAGGACTGAATCTTGAGCTCTTGACATCTTTTTACGACGCGATTGTTCTTGCTTAGCTTGTGAGTCGTCGTCTTCATCACCCTCTACTAAATCTTTGCTAGAAGTGGAAGTATTGATTTCCTTCTTGGTTTTAAGCTTCTGCATACGCATCCGGTCCTTCCACATGCGCCGTTTGAGATCATCGTAGTTGATTTCTTCATCATCTAATTCTTGGTTCTCTTCCACTTCGCTCATTGGGCTCAAAGGCTCTATAATTTCTTGAAATTCAACCATGTTTGATTTCGAGATATATAGCTAGAAAAAAGAAACGAAAATATAGCTAGCGAGACCAAAGTAGTAGATGTATCAAAGAATGTGTACTATGTGTCTTGAGTCAAGAATGGTGAGACAAAGGTGAAAATGTTTATATTCGTGAAATATGGCGGTGAGAAATGAATAAAATGAGGAGACAAAAAGTGGCTCTTCCCAAGAGTGAATGGAGATTTTGGAGGAAATTAGGGAAGAAACTGATGAAATTGGGAAATGGTTGCAGCTCATGTGAATAAGCAGAAAAATGCAGAGGTGAGGACTGATGCAATTAGGAGGAGAGAGTTATGTCATATGTATTCGTGGTTTATCTTCGCGTTTGCATGCATGTGAAAACACATGGTTTTCGTGCTTACTCAGCATCGATTCATCACACTTACTAATGAATTCAGGTCTATATATAATTTGCTTGTATAAAACGGCCCTTTACCTAATGCACCAAGTGCTTCGCAATTTATGCCATGTTACTTGAAATTAAAAATCATAATCTAAAATAAGCCATATATACAAGTTGTGTGATTATAAATCATCACATTAAAAGTAAAATATAAAGTTTAAATTTAAATAAAATTACTAAATACAGAAATGTGTCTTCATTTTTTAACTGATTAAACAAATTGATAAGGATGGAGTATAACTAAAGTGATCGAAATTTTTCTACAATCTTTGAATGTAAAACTGTCGTATGTTTGGAAATTTGAAAGGTTCTGATTCTAAATGGTCGATACCAATACAGCGGACGGAATTCAGAATAGTCAACAGTTTTCTCGTCGATGGACGGAGAGGGACTTTGAGTTGAACTCTCTTGAGAGTATTACCCTTGATTTCTGTGCATGTGCGTATTTTAAAGCTACACGTCTACTTACTATATATAGAAAGATTGCTCTTACGAAGTTGAAACTTCCTCTTATGTAACTTCTTGACTGGCGATTTTTCTTTTGACCGGGGGGAGGGGCTGTCTGGACTTACGCTATTCTAATATCATATTCTGCTTTATTTAAGAAATAAAGGATCAAGATTTTTGAAAAATATAATTTTAAATATGTCATAATAATTATATTATATAATTATAAAAGCAATAAAATGTAAAATTTAAATTAAATATTATCCAAATTTATAATGTTATTATTCTTTTGGAATGAATAAAAAAATATTATCACATAAATTAAAATGGAGGAAGTATATTGTGTACCCTCCCACTTTATTTTGTCCTTCCTAATTTTCATTGTGATCCATCATCTTTAAGATATAAACTCATTGTACCCCATAGAAAATCTTGGGATGGAAATACACCTAGTTAACTTTTGTACCAATTGATATATATATATATATATAAACATTCCGATTATCATTTTTATGCACAGAAAGATTTGTTAAATGATTACAAATTCATCAACAATTTACTAAGTTTGATATTCTTGTTCGTTATGCATTGTGTGAGCACGTGATTTTTGTTTACACGACAATTACTTCAAAAGAAATCGAAAAATAAAAACAAATGGTCTTGTTGTACAATTTTTGGAATTTACGGGATCTTTGTGGTAGTTATTTGTAGTTTTGTCTGTGATTGTTTAGTTTTATCAAATAAGAATACAAAAATATATGTCGCGTGTAAGTTTAGGATATCGTTCTACTATTAGAAATTAATCAAACCATAATCTGGTTTTAAAAGGAAAAATCACAAAAAAAATGCATTTTTTATTTGTTTGTTTGTCATTGTGTGATTTTATTTTAATTAAAAGTTTAAAGGGTGTTATAATTGTTGTTAAGTGTTAATTAATATTTGTGTAATTTTATTTTAATTTTTATAATTTAATTAGGAATTGTGTTTAGATTAGAAATTAAAAGAAGGAAAAGAAAGGAGTTCAAAATTGAAGAAATTCGGACTTGGGCTTAAAATTGAGACCAAGAATCAGGCCCAATTCATTTCATGACCCAGTCCGGTCCCCTGATCTCTATGACCTCACCAAATGACGTTGTTTAACGCCTACCAGATCTGGACCGTTGATCAAACATATCTAACGGTCTAATTCAACTCCCATTTTTAAACCAAACGACGCCGTATAAGGATATTCAATCGGAGTCGTTCATCCCTCCCAATCCAACGGCTCCCAAGCTTTCCCTAGATACCCGACCCACTGATACCCGGATTGACCCATCCCCAACATTAAACCAAACGACATCGTCTCTTTAAGCTGAGAGATCAAGGCCGTTGATCATCAATGATCCAACGGCCACAATTCAACCCTCGTCCCGTATATAAGCCTTCCCCTCTCACCCCCGCGCCCTAAGCTACCCCCGCATCATCGTCCCCTTCCCAGACACCCTCAAAAACCCTAGCGCCGCCCCCCCTTTCCCTCACCGTAAACCCGGCGGCAACGATGCCGGTGACCACCAGACTAACACCCCTAGTACACCTCGACCCCCTGAACACGGATCCACAAGCCATGGGTTTCGAATCTTCCCTCACCGTCTCGAATCTTCGTTTGAAGATTCGAGCCGGACCCCAACCCATGCCAAACCACCCCAGATCCCTGCCAGGTACTCTCCTGACCTCCCTCGTGACCAAACCAAACTTGGTTTGGTCCGAATCTAACCAGAAAAATCTGAATCCCAAATCCGCCCTAAGAACCCTAGAAATCCAGAATCCGAAGTTTTTGTCCGTTTAAACAAGAAGGTTGGGGTCTAATAGACTTTAATCGAAGTGTTCTCAGTTGAGAACACTTCGATTAAAGTCCGTTCAACCCCAAAAGAGGTTCGATTCCAAATCCGGGACAGGGCAGTCTGATTTTTAACCCTTTAAGGTATTTCTTTTTCTTTTCTTTATTAATTCCATGTTGTTTGTTTGGTTATTGTTTGTTCGTATGTTTGAATGTAAGTTTGATCTGTTTTATTGTGTCAACTATTCTGTCCATCTCACCCAGATCTTTATTTGATCGAATTTGTTTCTGTGTGTTTATTACGTATAGTTACAGTTTGTGTAATCGAGTCGAGTAAGTTCCGTCAAGCAGTTAAGTTTCCCACAAATCCCCGTGCCTGTCAACATGAAATCATAATCTGTGCTTGTTCAAGTTTGTTTATCTGCTATTGATTTGTGCGCATTGTAATTCACACAGTCGATTCGATACATGTCGTCAATTAGTTTCAGTTTGGAATGATAGTAATTTGACTCCTGTTGGTTTAATTTTACTCGAATCAGTTGAGAATTGATTACATTGTGTGTTAGCCTTTTAAGTTAAATCAGAAACCACTTAAGGATTGATTGTAGCTGCAATTTTAATGAAGATTTCAGAGCCTAAATTAAGTGGACTGCCAGTTTGAGTATGGGTGAACCATTAGAATAGTCTATAGGGCAAATACACTTTGGCTGACATCCTTAAAGATGGGAAGTCAGATGTAAGATGAGTTTAATAATAAAAGGCTGGAAATGAGAATGGTAGTGGTACCTGCTGTAAAGTGGATATCCACTGCATTTTTTGAATTTCCGCAGATTTAAAGTAGAAAAACCCATGCCTAGACAGGGCTAAGTGGAAATGACAACCACTAGGAGTTGTTTTTAGGGCCTGGGCAGCCTGTCATTAAAGGGA